TGAACACTTGCAGATGATATTTTTTTCCTTATTAAATACACATTTTTCCTTATTAAATACACATTTGGAGATGATCACTTTTTCCTTGTTAAATACATATAGATATAACCATGCTGGATATTTAAATACTCAGCCATTTTTCTTTATAAATCTTGATTGAAGAGAATTGACTTGCTTGTTTGATTTTTTTTAAATTACTCTAGCAAAAATAGAAGATAAAATTTCATTAAAAGGCAATTTATGTAATACTACTATATCTGGAAATCAATGCTGACACTTACCATTTTTTGTCTAGAGCAAAGAAAGTTTTCTCTTAGCATGTTTAACCTGATGGTGGGTGAGCTGTTTTCTGGGACATTTTCCACAGTTGGGCATGGTACCCAGGCCATCTGTTGCAAATTGATGAAAGAAAGGGTTTCTCAACAGCGAGCCCACTGATAATCAGTATAGTTGCATTTTGTCTTATCTGTTTTACTATGTATATCTTACTGACTCAGGGTCTTGAAAATTACCTTTATAAATGTCATTCTTAAACCCAAATTAAGTGCTAGAAGTGATGTACAGTATTGCCTGATGTGAATTAATCTAGGGCATGGACTTAAATATACTGTATCTGTAGCACAAGAAATATTAATCAACTAATATGCTGTGATTAGTTAAGGCATCTCTCTTGATCAAATTTAAGAATGGGGTTCATACATAGACTAGAATGATGTATTAAAGAAACTTTGGAGTTATGAAAACATTTTAAGTGATAGAAATAATTTCTTATTAAGTTATATATTGTTATTTAATAGACACCTTGAAAAATTAATAATTTATGAAGCCTCAAACTGAGACATAGAATTATTTCTCTTTCCTTGTAGTGGTCATCTATGTTTTAAAATTCAAAACTAAGGAAATTCAAAATTAGTTTGTTCATACATTTTCTAAATACATCAAATCATTACTGGTTTTTCCCCACACTTAACAGAGCCCTGTTTGCCTTGAAAACATATGTGTGACTTTTTCTCAGACTAGTCCATTAAGCTTCACAGTAGTTTACAATAAAATAATCAGATGATTTTTTTAAAATCAATAAAGCAGTTCATGTCATTTTATCCACATTTGAACTTGACTGTAGTCAGAGATGAAGTGGAGAATGAAGAGATATATGTATTGGCTAGGCTGCTGCTGCTGCTGCTAAGTTGCTTCAGTCATGTCTGATTTTGTGCGACCCCATGGACAGCAGCCCACCAGGCTCCTCTGTCCACGGAATTCTCCAGGCAAGAATACTGGAGTGGGTTGCCATTGCCTTCTCCAACTGGCTAGGCAGGGTAATCAATTTTTAGTCCTTCTCTATCTTTCTGTAGGATGTAAATATGTAACTACTTTTGCTACATTACTGAATAAGGTAAGGTGGCATACAATCACCTGGTATCTTACAATCATCATTCCTTCTAAAGGAACAAGTCTTATCTTCTAGAACAATGACCGAAAAAAAGGCTTTTTACATTTTTCTTACTTGAATAAATATATTATTATGGAATACATACACATGTTGTATGTATAAATATACACAAATAGTTAAAAAATTGAGTTACCGTCTGCCTTTGTGAGTAATAATGGAAAACAGCAGTTAACATTTTACAGAATTTGAGTCTTATATTTTGTGGCGCATTATTGATGATTGGCATGGTCCATCATTACATATATCAGTAAGTGCTTCAGAAGAGAAAAACAACAAAAAATGGAATAAGGCCTTCAAGACATCAGCTGCACCCTGATGGGTCTGTCAATACCTCAGTTCCCTGTTCTTTCTGCACTGTGTTTATTTCGGCACTCTTGAGTGTTCTTGCACATTGACTAAAGAAGCTGAAGTTGATGGAAATGAGGTTATTCTGGAGTAAGCTGACAGTTTGGGTCCTTGATGTCCAACAATTGAAAAACCAGAAATGATGCCCTGTCAGAAGAAAGTATACTAAGGAAGTAAAGTCAGAAAACAAGTTAGAGACGGGAAACATTGCAGGGTCAGTCATTTATAATTGTGGAGTGGTTTTGAAAGCTAGTTTTGTTTGTGATGCAGGTAAAGCCAGTTTTGACTGCAGAACAAATTAGTAGAACCGCCGCTGCCAAGTCGCTTCAGTCATGTCCGACCCTGTGCGACCCCATAGACGGCAGCCCACCAGGCTCCCCTGTCCCTGGGATTCTCCAGGCAAGAACACTGGAGTGGGCTGCCATTTCCTTCTCCAATGCATGAAAGTGAAAAGGGGAAGTGAAGTCGCTCAGGTCGTGTCCGACTCCTAGCGACCCCATGGACTGCAGCCTACCAGGCTCTTCTGTCCATGAAATTTTCTAGGCAAGAGTACTGGAGTGGGTTGCCATTGCCTTCTCCAAAATTAGTAGAGACTAGATGTCATGACTAATTGACTGCAATCACATGACCTAGATGGAAAAGTCCCAGGCCAAGTTTCTTAGTGGACAAATGTCCCCTTTACCAATGGCTATCTCCCCAAACAGGGAAACAACTGAAGAAGCGATGAAATGACTTCCGAGATAATGTCTTAGCAATCATTGTTTAACTACCGACACCATAATCGATATTTGCTGCTGAATATATGTGCTTTTTTTTTTTTTTGAGCAAACTCAGGAAGATAGTGAAGGACAGGGAAGCCTGGCATGCTGCAGTTCATGGGGTCATAAAGAGTGGGACATGACCTAGCGACTGAACAACGGCAATACATACTTTTAAAGAACTCGTAAAAGCTTTTAATTTGGGCCTCAGAGTTTTAACTTACATTTATTAGCCTAAGGTGCTTAGTCAACGTAGGAAGTTAATAATAGTTTTGTTCTCCACTATCCTTCATAAGAAGAAAATTATCAGGGGTAACTGAAATGTATTGTATTAGATTCCTTTGTCTTTTGTGAAGTATAATAATAGGGTTTCTAGAGGCACTTTTATTCATTTCTATTTTTTATTTGGAATCATGCAGAAACCAAGTTAAAGGAAAATATACCTCAAATTGTGTTAGTATCTGTAACAGTCTTGGGGTTTTGTTTTTCAGTGGTATTGGAACAGCAAGGTAGGAGCAGCATGTTTGATAAATTTCAGTGTATAAAAAAATGAGGCTTTTGTTGTTCATGTTAATACTCTAATGTTATTAATATTCTAATGAGAATAAGTGTGACTAATCATATAACTCTTATGGTATTTGAGATATAGTCTCCAAATAAGACTAAACAGCATTTCTAAACTCTAGGTTTTACTGTGGAACTATTAATACTATTGGTTGACTTGATGTTATCCTGTATATTTCCAGTGTTGAGAATAATTCTGAGTCAATAATAATTTATAATTAAAAGTTAAAATTAATAATTAATTCAATAAATATTTTTGGTTAAGTGAATGACTATATCATGAAGTGGCATCTTTTGAAAATATTTGACAGACTTGAATCTGAACTTAAAGATCTTTAATTCATATTTCTAGTATTCTAAGCTCCTTGCATAGGATTCAAGGCTTACCTAAGAGCCAGGTGGCTCAAGTGGAAAAGAATCCACCTGCCAACACAGGAGACATGGGTTTGATCCCTGGATCAGGAGGATCCCCTGAAGGAGGAAATGGCAACCCACTCCAGTATTCTTGCCTGGATAATCCCATGGACAGAGGAGCTTGGCTACAGTCTGTGGGGTCACAAAGAGTAGTGCACAACTTAGGGACTGAATACACACACACACACAAGAGCCTTGCACTTTTCAAATAAGTTTTTCTTATGAAGTTGCTCTTGGTTTTGTCAGCTCTCAAGGGTAACATTGTGTAGTGGGAGGGGTAGTGCTAGGTTGGGAAGATCACAGTTTGTGAGGGAAACAAACCTGGGCTTTGATCCCAGTTCTGCCATTTATTACCTGTGTTCTCAGGGCAAGATAATTATCACCCTAGATATTGTGTTTTGCCATGTGTAAAAATAAGAATAATCATCTAAATCCTTAAACAACTAGTCACTAGACCTAACATATTGCTTGTTTAATAGCAGGCACTCAAAGTACTTAATTAGATGATTTACGAATCATTACTGTTATCAAACCAGGTTTGTTTTGCCCAATATACAGCAAGCCAAAATGCAGAGCTGCCTAGGTTTTCAAGAAAGAGAGCAGCTAAGTAAGGATATCAAGGAGCAAGTCTCAGAACCACCTCTCCAAAGGCAAGGGTTCAGAGTATTTATGCATACATGCTAAGTTGCTTCAGTTGTGTCCAACTCTTTGCGAGTCCAGAACCACCTCTCCAAAGGCAAGGGTTCAGAGTATTTATGCATGCATGCTAAGTTGCTTCAGTTGTGTCCAACTCTTTGCGACCCTATGGACTGTAGCCCACCAGGCTCTCCTGTCCTTGGGATTTCCCAGGCATTAATACTGCAGCAGGTTGTCATGCCCTTCTCCAGGGGATCTTTCTGACCCAGGGATCAAACCTTTGTCTCCAGCATCTCCTGCATTGGCAGGCAGGTTCTTTACCACTAGCGCCATCTAGAGGTAGATATGAAGTAAAGAATAAAGAAGCAGGGTTGTCTAAGGCATGGGGAGCCTGGGGAGCTTGGGGAAAGGGGACTGGAAAAAGGTGCAGTTAATTGTTCTACACAGGTGTAACTCAGCTCAGGCCTCTATTTATTCAAAAATGAAGGCACTTAGCAGGATCTGAGGGTGGAGGTTTCAGCCCGTAGATGTCAAAATGTCATCCAGTGGACACTCGCACATGCCCAGTTGAAGGGTCAATGTTCCTATACTGTTCAACTCAAGCTAGACACAGCTAATTTCAAGTTCCTAGAAAGTGATTCCTAAACATCTTATTGTTTAGGTGTGATGCCTCTTGAAGTACATGCAAGTCTTCTGTATACCTTGATTAATGAAGGCAGGTGAAATGGATATGACTAATGATTACCCACGGTTTTATTATTTTTGAACAAATAACAAGTGAAAGGCAAATGGCTGCAAAGTTCTAAACATTTTTCATTTTCTTGTTTTACCAGATGATGACTTTTTTCATGAACTCCCAGAAACCTTTCCATCTGACCCACCTGAACCTCTGCCACATTTCCTTATTGAACCTGAAGAAGCTTATATTGTGAAGAATAAGCCTGTGAACCTGTATTGTAAAGCCAGCCCTGCCACCCAGATCTACTTCAAGTGCAATAGTGAATGGGTTCATCAGAAGGACCACATAGTAGATGAGAGAGTAGATGAAACTTCTGGTGAGTTTTCCATTGCATTTGCACTGCTGTTTAGGATTCACTTACTACTTTGATGTGTTGTCAATTATTGAAATTGAAAATACAATGATTATCCTTTGGTAAAAAATTTTAAGGCAGTTTGGTTAAGATTTGGTGATATCATTCCCTGTATTGCAATGTAAAATGTGATGAATAAATCTTGACATGATTCCTGTTGAACCCTTTAAAATTAAGGCATGGTTTATACTTAAGAGGACTTCCTTGATGGCCCAGATAGTAAAGAATCTGCCTGCAATGCGGGAGCCTTGGGTTTGATCCCTGGTTTGGGAAGATATCCTGGAGACTGGAATGGCTCCCCACTTCAGTATTCTGGCCTGGAGAATTCCATAGACAGAGGAACCTGTGGCCTATAGTCCATGGGCTCACAAAGAGTCAGACACAACTGAGTGACTTTCACTTTTACTTTATACTTAAGAAATAATGAGAGTGAATAGACTAATTTAGGGTAAATAAATACCTCAGTGAAAGATGCCTTTGAATTTCACTTGTGTTATCAAGTCTGGTGTCAGGCCTAAATATCCTGGGATCAAGGAATGTTTTCAATTAAGGATAAATTGTGCTTGTTTACCAGCCCACTCCAGTATTCTTGCTTAGAGAATCCCGTGGACAGAGGAGGCTGGTGGGCTGCTGTCCATAGGGTCGCACAGAGTTGGACACGACTGAAGCGACTTAGCAGCAGCAGCAGCAGCAGTACTTGTTTACATGATTGTCAAGTGTTAATTCCCATGCATAGTTTCCCCTTATATATTTTTAAACAATTTGTAGACATTGTAGATTCAAACTATTTGTATCTTTAACTTACATCTGAAGATGAATCCTAATTACCTAACTCTTCGCTGAAGTTAAATTCAGGGTGATTGAGAAAAGTTATATTGTGTGTTCCACAAAGAAAAGTGGTAGATCTTGATTGGAGTATATTTGCTTCTCACATTTTTAAAACCCTGACTTTATTGCTTTGTAAATATCATTCTTAATAGCAAAATACTAAAACCAAAGAGATGATGGAGTAGATCTTAATCAACTGTAGGATTTACATTGGCTATAAAGGGAACTTTCTTGATAGAAATTTCTTATTCCACAATAGGTAACTTAAGAGAGTTGTGGAAACCCCTAGAGTTGTTTCAAACTAGAGAATATATATATTTCTGCAGTGGTTCAAGAGTTTTTGCTCTCCAGCAGGGAAAATAACAATCTGAATTTTCACATCCCTTCCAGATTTGTAATTTTTTAAATAATATTAAGACATACATTTTAATAATTAAGACTTTGTTGATCAATATTTCCAAACTAAATTGTGACAAATATGATGAGTGGAAGCATTTAAATATCTTCATTTTCTTTCATAAATATCTCTATGTAACAAAATGAATACATGTTTTCAAAATTCAGTTGTAATTAATTCATGTTTGTATCCAAAGGTTGGTTAATGAGGGGCAAGCAGTGACCAGCATTTGAAGGAAATCTTTGTTCAGTGTCTCTAACAACTAAGAGATATTAGGTGATTGAACATAGACCATGAGAAGCCTGAGAAGAGGCATCTTTTAAAAAAGAAAAAGCTTGTGAGACATATACTTATATAACACAAGTGGTCTTAGAAAATTAGGTGGCAGCTCCACATAATTGTCAGTTTGTGAGTCAGTATGCTCACTGCATGCAAGCTGATGACTGTAGAAATAACTGAGTATCCAGCTATATGGTCTCTTCCTTCAGGGAATTGGTCTATTACACCTCTTGGTCTAATTACTCAGTAAATAGCTCCACCAGATGTTTTCAAAATCTCAAGTGAATTGAGTTTTATTTGTTTCAGCCCATTTATTTGTAAAGATTTCAGACACACACATTTTAATAGTAAGAGGAAAAAGAAATAAAATCACAAAACTAAAATGAGAGTCATAAACATACTTAGGCTTTTCTTTACTAGATTAATGAATATGCTTCTATAGGAAGATTATAAATAAAAACAAAATTGCTCTGATACTGAACACGTCTAGCAGCCTCATACTCTCTTGGTTATGTGTGTTTATGTGTATTTTTTTAAAAGGCAGTTCCTTTTCATAAAGCATTATATTTTTACCTCCACAGAAAATTAATTAACATTGCCTGTACCAATGATTAAAAATACATCTTAAAGCAACTATAAATGAAAATATATGGTATGTTTTCATTCAAATTCAGGATGGGATAGATTAGAGCCGAGGAAAGACTTGGCAGCCTTAATACTTGCATAGTATTCATATTTGGAATGGAATGCTTTTTTGTTGTTTTTCCTTTTCATCCAAAACTATACAGGATAGCTAGCATCCAGGAGAGTGCATTACCTTTAAATATAGGAAAAGAGAGAGATACCCACAGATACTAGTATCTTTTGATATTGTTCTTAACATAATTCATGTGTGCATGCTCAGTCGTGTCCTGCTCTCTGTGACCGCATGGACTGTAGCTCTCCAAGTTCATCTGTCCATCGGATTTCCAAGGCAAGAATACTGGAGTGGGTTGCCATTTCCTCTTCCAGAGGATCTTCCCCATTCAAGGATTAAGCCCAAGTCTCTTCCTTCTCCTGCTTGGTAGGTGAATTCTTTACCACTGAGCCCCCCGGGCGGTCATTTGGTGTTGTTCTTAACAGACTAGCCAATGCAATTAGATAAGATAAATAACTAAATAGTTGAAAACGATCATTTGGACAAATATGATTTTGTAGATCTGGAAAACTTATGCAGTTTCAAAGGAAAAAAATTGAAAACCATTAAGAAAATATAGAGAAGTGGCTGATAAAAGATATACATAACCCATCAACTTTTATAAGTATAGTCAATTCAAATTATATTAAGCTAAAATATATCATTTACAATAACAATGTAAAAATGTAGATACAAAACTATCAAAAACTTGGAGAATTTTAGAAAGAGATTAAAATCTACTCAGAGACCAAAATACAATGACTTGAATAAGTGGAAAGACATGTCTTGTTCCTAGATAAAAAGACAATAGTTTTAAATGTTTGCTATTTATAAATGAATATTGTTAAGTAATTAGCCTCCAACTAATAAAAATAATTGGGAAAAAAATTAACGAAGCCATAAAGTCATCAGCATTGTGTGAAAAATAATTTGTGAAAATAACTGGAAAAATTCTGAAATAGTGGCACAATAAAGAGATACCAGCTCTTTTTAACTGTGTCATGAGGCTAAAGAAGTTTGATAAGACACACACGCAGAGAATAAGACACACAGATTAATGGACCCAAAATAGAAATCAGGAAATAAACATCTAAGGCATTTTATACTGTGATGGCGATAATTTCTAAATGCACAAGGTAGGCAGTTGGAAAAGTAAAATATAAATAAGTAAATAAATAAAGCTTGAGTTCTAGCTCATTCTTTAGAATAAAATAAATTCTAGATGTTAGGGTTAACGTCATCATCATTGTTGTCATTGTAGTCATCACCATCACCTCTAGGAGAAAATTCTGGTAATTTATTTATTGGTTGTTTGGTTTCAGTGGTGATCACAGCTTTTCTAATGAAGACAAAATCCAGAGGCCTTATAAGAAAGCATTATTTTATAAAAAATTAAACATTATTAAATTTACATAAAGCGAGAAAACCACAAAAACCAAGGGAGAGATATATACTAATCAAAGGGTTAATTTAGTTAGTATACTACTAGCTCTTAAAATATTTTTAAGGAAATGATATGTATCCCAATAAAATTGAGGCAAGTTTAAAGATGGAGTTATAGGAAAAGAAATGTAAGTGGTAAATGCACATATAAGAAAATGTTGTCAAAATCAGAACAGTTGTTAGTGTACAGTGTTGATAAAGGAGTGGGATAGGGATATTTCATACTTTGTTGATGAGGTTGCAAATTGACATAATCCTTTAGAAGACCAATTTGAAAATATCTGTCAACATCTAAATGTATATACCTTTTTACTCGGTAACTACAAATTTAGAAACTGTCTGAAAATAAAATTCCTGATGAGCACAAAAACTTGTGTGCAAGGCCGTCCATTGCACCCTTGTTGAAGTTAGTATATCAAGGGCGGCTCAGCTCTAGGATGGAATACTGCACTGCTTTGTAAAACAATGAGATTTGTGCACATGTGAAGGGGTAGAAAATTCTATCAGATAAAATTTGAAGTGAAAACCAAAATACACAACATTGCATGCAATATATGTCTTTATTATGTAAAAAGAGGATGCACATGTATTTGTCTACGCATTAGGATTTTCTGGAGAAACATACAAGCAGTTGACAGCTCAGAATTTGGGGCAGTAAGAGTTCTTTTTTTTATTGTTTGATTTTCATTCAATCCTCTGAATGTATTATCTTCATGATAGATAATGAAATCCAAATTTTAAAGGCTCAAACTGCTTTATTGCAGCTCTTTGCCTGTTTTCATACATCTGTAACCTATACACTACAGGGAGTAGAGAGATTTGTAGGCCTTCTTATATTAGAGCTGTTTGTTTACCATCTCTTTGCTCTTTCAGAACATTGTGAATGAAATTGAATTGCTTGGTTCAAACTTCGGGGATTTCCCTCTGAAGTTAGTTTCATCTGCAACTTTGGTGCCCAGCTCTTTATTTAATACAGTTTGAGTATTATTTTGTTATGGGCCTTAGTGATCATTAATATCAAGAAATGTTAGATTACATTGTCTTGAAATATATTAGATATCAGAGAAATTTTCTGGGCATTTTAAAAATCAAACTGATTCTCAGATGGCAAGACAGAGAGAAGTCATTGCAAACAAGTTTGGTTTTCTGTAGGTATCTCCTCCTTAGACTGGCTTCCCTGGTAGCTCAGTGGTAAAGAACCTGCCTGCCAAGGCAGGAGACATGGGTTTGGTCTCTGGGTCGGGCAGATCCCCTGGAGAAGGAAATGGAAACCCACTCCACTATTCTTGCCTGAAGAATCCTGTGGACAGAGAAGCCTGATGGGCTCCAGTCCCGTGGGGC